TTAGTAGTCTCTCCTGCAATTTTAATAGCTGTGCCGTTTGTTTTCAGTCGTTCATGGACATCGCATGCAGGAGTATTCAAAATGCCGCGCGTATTAAACGCTTTTCAAGATTACACATCGTTATAAAACCATTAAATTAAAAAAAAATAAATAAACGTAATAATTTTTTTTTTTATGTTGAAGAGTAACCCTGTTAATGTTAACTGCAAATTTGGCGCTCGTCAAAGGTGAGAACCGGCTGGCCGTATAAGTGATTTTGGACATTTTTTGAACGTTTTCGCTAAAAGCCCATGACTTCCTGAATACTGACTGAGTGCAATTTGTCTCGAAAAATTGTGAAATACTGCATTTTTTCCGAGGTCTGTATGATAAATAGTACTGTTTCTCCTCAGATATGATGCATAAAAAGTATAAACAGGTTGGTTTACACACCCCCAGATTTGTGGGCAAGATTTTGTAAAGTAAACTTGTCGATAGCAAAAACTTCGGCCTGTTTTGTTTTCCAGGCCTTAAATCTACTGTGATCAAGAGCCATTATGGCTCTTGAATGTGATCGAAGATGATTGCTATTTTTTGGGTGTACATATAAGGTTATCAACTCGATGCAGGATGCTTCACTCTAAAATCACTTAGCCTTTCCGTCAAAAGTCACATGAATGTGCCCTTAAGTTAACTGGTTTGTGGATTACAAGTTTATTGTTTGATTTAAATCATAAATTTATTAATGGGAGCTTCGCTTTTAACCCTGGCTTAATCTATATATTAGACTTGACAAGTCGGTGTCTGCCAGAATATTGTGTACAGTGGAGTGTAAGCTTATTCAGGTAGGATTCCGTCGACCATTTGCAACAAAAACTACAGCCGATGATGTGTACAGGAAACAAAAAGGAACCAATGAATGGTATATCATTGCACCTTCCCCTAAAGTTTCTTGTTCACATCAGGAAGATTTAACTCAAATCTACAGCTTCATAATTAGTATACGTGTCGAAATAGTCGACCATCAGATGACCTATGTAACAACGAACTTCAGTCGGCAGGAAGATACCTTTACCTTCCACAATCCAGCTGACTTATTGTTCTCCAACTTGATTGGAGGCACGCTTCATATGAACAACGAAACAAATGATGCGAACAATCCGCCTTTAAAATAATGGCGATTTCGGGTGCAAAATATATAAACTCCTGTTGGAAAGTCCGCGTGAATTTGAATTGATCCAACGGAACTTCATTTTTCGCTTTTCTGTTGGTTCAAAAGGCGCACGTGACAACTGGAGTCACTTAGTGGGAGACTGGTAACCAGTAAGTTAAACATCAAACATGGAAACATGGCGGGTAATCCGTTCGGTGATCGAGTTTAGTGAGTCTAAAAAGCAGTTGTTTTAAGAGCTGAATGAAATATTCCAGGAGGAAAAATTTGCATTGTTTTTTGAAAGAAACGATGGCCTTAATTACTTACTCAGCTTCAACGAAAAACGAGTTGTGAACATTGTTTGGACTAGCTCAGGTAAGATTCACGACCAGTTGCTTTATACTACATACACTTGTGGGTCAAAAGCTTTTTTCCGGTAAAAAAATTCAAACAAAATATGTCAAAATTTATGGAGCGATCGTTGTGATCGCTGTGGTACATGTAGACTTCAGTTTTATGGACAGTGATGTAGTAACTCTAATGAGACTACAACATGTAAGATTATTTTTTACCAATGAATTAATCGCAGGTATGGAATCCAAGCCGTGTTGAAGAGTATTCTTTGTCATCAGGCAAATCAATGGGAGAATGGACTATATTTTAGGCAAAACGACCACATGCAAAATTAATATGTATTAACAAATTACTGTAGGATTTCACACATTTTTTCACAGGGCTGAATCAACCTCAGAATAATTCATTTAATTGCAAGAAACCCATTCTTATTTCTCAGGTTGTTTCATATGCTTTTTTAGGCCCATAATAGAAACTTAGAATTTCACAATTTTTTCACAAGCTGGCTTTCATATTTCAAAGCAGTGATTTTGATTTCGCAGGATGTTTCTTACAATCAAGGGATATTTCACATGTTGTTTCACACGGCTTTTTCGTCAGTTCGAAAAAGCATGTTACAATTTCACACATTTTTTCACAGGGTAGAATCAACCTCATAATTTTGTGCAAGAAGGACTTTTTATTTCACAGGGTGTTTCACAGGATGTTTCACATCCATAAAAGTCTCACATGGTTTTCACATGAACTTCACATACGCTTCACAGGGTTGCTCCCAGTAGTGACCATGGCGGCAACGGGAAGGTCAAAATAGTGATAAGTTTAATAAGCAAAAAGAAAACTTTGTTGACGACCTGCGTGTGCATCACATTTTCTTTAAATTTGTTTGCCACTCTGAATAGCTACGATCTAAACTGCGAATAGCCGTTGAATCGTGCCAAACACTCCGCTCGAAATTGGAAACAATACAGGGCTAATCTGTAAACACTCTCCATCCATAACATGCAAGACTCAATCACAAGGTCACGTTAACTTGAAAAGATGAGAAATATCGAAAAAGGAAACCCAGTCGCTACACCACACTCTTCTGTCTGGGACGTACTTATGAGGTGCATTCGCCTATTTTCATAACTACTGTTTGAACAAGTTAAACCCACCTCTATTTTAAAAATACTTTAAGGATCCTAGAGACCTATACATCACTGTTCTCTCGATTAGCAGTCGTCCACGGATACCCCACCTCTCAGCATTTCGGCTTGGTCGTTGCTATTAGCACCTTTCTTTTAGTCTTAAAACATTGTACTCCTTAAGCTATCGCGTCCAGAAATTCTTCCATGTCATTAATCTATTAATGATTTCCAAGGGCCCAGGAGGGAAAACGTGAAAGTAGTATAGGGACTATACCGTTTCTTTTTTAAGTGGTATCTCATTATAGTGAAGTGGAATACACGACGACTTCATAGTGTTTTTTTCTTTATCCAGGAGCCGATTTATCTTATGAATAAAATACGGGGGAATCTCATTAAGATAACGACTAAGTCGGCCACAGCCGCGTCTTGACATTCATTAAGATAAGGCCGTGTGCTAACCTGTCGGATAGGTTTCCTAGTTATACTTCTTATCGATAGTAAGAAAAATATTCATCATTAGTTGATTCATGTTGCGAGGAATAAGTGCAAGTTCTACCTCCTGCCGCTTTCATTGTCCAACAAATTGTACCAATTGTGGTTCACTGGTTCTTGGCGCGCAAATCGTGCATAGTAATGAGGACGACGGCAAACTAGCTCTTTTTTAAAAAAAAAAAACAACAAATTTTCACTTTCCCTCCTTTCTTTTTTGCTCATTTTTGAGCCTATATCCACCTCGCATCGAGCACACATCGATCCTTCACCGATCTACCCCTCATCGACCCTACATCGATCCCTCATCTACCCAACCCACGTCGACCCTACATCCTCCTTTCGTTTAAAGACAATTTATTTGTAATGATACCAACCTTGAATAGTGAAACTGTATACCACCGCCACATTTCTATTGTTTTCGCTCCAAGACCACCACCTCATTTCTATTGTTTTCCCTCACCACCACCACATTTCAATTGTTTTCCCTCTCCGTCACTATCACCACATTTCTATTGTTTTCCCTCCAGGACCGCCTCTACATTTTAATTATTTTCCCTTTCCACCAGCACCACCACCACCACATTTCTATTGTTTTCCCTCTTCACCACCACCACCACATTTCTATTATTTTCCTCCACCAACACCACATCTCTATTTTTTTCCTCCACCACCACCACCACTACATTTCTATTGTTTTTACTCCTCCACCACCACCACCACCACCACCACCACATTTCTATTATTTTCCTCCACCACCACCACATTTCTCTTTTTTCTCCCAAGACCACCACCACATTTCAATTGTTTTTCCTTACCACCACCACTGCATCTCTATTGTTTTCCCTCCACCACCACCACCGACACCACATTTCTATTAATTCCCAACATCATTATAAAGCAATAAAATAATCCATTCCATTTTGTTTGAGATTTGAAAAACTGGTTTCCCTTCACCATTGTCGCCACCGTCACATTTCTACCATTTTCCGTGACACGAACATTTTGATGAGATAGGAAGATAGACTTAGAGTCCAGTCTTCTAATAACGTGAAAGGGACCACCTGTTTCAGGCGAAAAGAGCTAGCTGTTTACGAAAGGCTAAACAAGGTAACTTAAGCGACAACAACGGCGAAGGCTACGAAAAATTCACTTGAAAAGTTAATTCGCGCTGCTTTAAACTTAAAATGTTGGCAAATTTTTCTGGACTTGAATTCTAAAGGACTCCTGTATCGTAGCCTGCGTACAGACGATAACTAAACTCTGATTAGTACCGTCTGCGAAGCAGCGCAGAGATCCTTGTTCTGGACCCCCAACGGACTCAACGAATTACCGGAAGTGCGTTTCGAATTTCCCTTCAACCTGATTGGCGATCACGACAAACAAAACAAAGGCCTTTTTTAACTGGCCAATCGTGGCGCGTACTCAAATCTGGGTACACAGCTGGAAGTCCAGAACAAGGATTTCGGCGCTGTTTCGCAGACGGAGTTAACCAGAGTTTAATTTCGTCTGCGCGCAGGCTAATGTATCGAAGTTTAGAAAAAGAAAAGGGAAGTCGTTGTCTTGTGTTCAAGTCCTCCACGAAACTTGAAATTCTCGTGAAATCAGGCAGTTTCACGTCGTAGTCGTGTAGTGACTGCAAAGAAATCTACAAAAGTGTGTGCTGCACGTGCAAAGTTGTTGTTTTTCTAATCTACACCTATTGCTTATTTGCCGTTCGCCGTCGCCGTCGTCGTTGCTTAGGCATCCTATTAACCGACGCGACAGACACGTATTGCATTAAAAGTAAAAGAAAATTTGCAGCCTCTTTAAGGATCATGCATCCTCCTTTTATGTAAACATGAGATAAATTAGTACCAAATTACAGCGAAGCTTGTCCTGGGCTGAGAAATCAATAACTATGAATTATACCCAAACTTACCCCTCCTAACTTTGAAGTTCCATATCCGGCTGTCACTAAAACTGCTCTCAGTGCTGTCAGTGTTTGCATTTGCAGCAGTAAGTGAAGTGACTGCGACTTCATACTCCTTCCAACAACCCAGGTGCAAGGTGTGGTTCGTACAATTTTTGTCCACGGATACGGAGCTCCAAGGACTAGTCACTGCCAATGAGACCTTTCTGTAGTAGACTTTATACCCCAAGACAAAACACGCCCCATTCAGTGGTGGTTCCCATATGATAACAACGGTATCTCCTGCTACTTCCTTGTCTTTATTCAAAATTATAGGAACACCTGAATAAAATAAGTGATGTTAAAGATCATGAGACTGAAGCAACGAGCACCTTTTTTAGAAAGTTAATACTGGTTTTTGTTGGAATCTTATGTATACTTTTTTTTACAGTAAAGAAGACAATTTTTTTCTTATTTTAATTAATTCATTTACTTATTTGTCTCTTTCATTAGGTGGCTGTTGCTTCAGAAAAAAGTAATGATAATATTACGGACCCCGTAATACATGGACATCAGCCTTGGAAAGTGAGAAAGTCTTCTACTCAAATTATTCGTAAAGAAAACCCTGCGTGCCGAGTCTATTGGATGCGGACTTTAATCAGACTTTTGATGTCTACCAAATCACGGTTTGATAAATTACGTGAATCGTAGCGAATTTAACCACAGGTGATCCAGCTCACTGTTTGTGTCACGTAAGGGTTTCATAACATGAGAAAATATAGAGAACATATTCGGCGAAGATTAGGTCTGGAAATTTGCTAGAAAATGGAAATAAAAACCCATAAAACTTAGCATGTAACGGGTTGTTGTTGTCCTTAATATGCACACGAAGTTTCGAGAAAAATAGTCTGTTTCGTTTTTCCTACACAGTATAGTGGCAAGGTAGGAGGCTGACGGCAGCGTCGCAGCTCCGATCGACCTCAAACCAGCACGATTTTTTTCGCGAAAATCGAATCCAGTCGCTGAATAAACACGCAAGGCTTGTGGAACATGATTTTGTCTTAACCCTGAAGCCAATGAAGCATCTCCAGCAGCTAGCAACACGAAGCCAGCACGCTCCGTAGAATACGTTAACCTTCTGGGGGCCCAAAGCCGTTAGGATCACAACTGGTCCAATTAAAAAATGGCGCTGAGCTCGGGGCGCCTGGTGACAAGTATAATAGGTCCCCGTGGAGGAGTTAATTCTTTGAGCACTCTGGGACTCCCTTCCCTCCACGGGGACTTAGTATACTCGTCACTAGGCGCCCCCAGCTCCCTTGGACCAGTTGTGATCCTAACGCGACGGCTTCGGGCCGCCATTTTGGTTACATTCCTTTTAGCCAAACTTTTTTCGGATTTGAACAATCCAGACTGTTTGGATTTTCGTGCTAGCCGGAACAAAAATCTGAAAGAAGATTGATCCATACAGGAGCAGCCTGCCGCTCCGATCTTCTTCTCAATTTCAACGCATCGTTTTTTACTTCTTTCTGCTAAAAGCATCTTCTCGTGGAGAAACGGAAAGAAAATTAGCTCTTTAACTAGTGGTGGGTCATACTGGAACTCATCAACTTTAAATTATCTGGAATTTGATTCAAGAAAATTCAGAAGACAATTACGAATTCTCAAGCGCTGAGAAGCGCGTTCTAAACGCAAACAGACATTGGAAAGTATAGTTTTACAGTGAGAAAATCTAAGCGATTTCTCTTCCTAACGGATTAATTTAGAGTGACAGTAGAACTTGAGTTAAATACAGTACAATCCTTCAGCGGCATAGAACAACGGGGGAATATAAATAACTTTTGCCTAGACTAACCTTGACCCGCCGTGTTTACTGATGAACGAGCACGTTTTTGAGGTCGAAAAGCAGTTTCATTAAATGGAACAAAGATCTGAAACCAGATTGAGATACCAATCTGAACGATCTTCCTTCAGAGGTAGATCGTTCGGATTGCAATCTTAGATTGGTTTGATCCTTAATGGAACAAAAAATCGAATTTTCGATCGCAAAATCCGGATTTAGATTGGCTAAAAGGAATGCAACCTTTAGAAGGTTAACATAAGAGTTTTACGGAGCCTGCTGGCTTGGCGTTGCTAGCTGGAGATGCTTCAGTGGTTTCAGGGTTTAGAGAAATTCATGTTCAACGAGCCTGGCGTTTTTATTCGGCGACTGGATTCGATTTTCGCAAAAAAAAATCGTGGTAGTTTAGGGTCGATCAGCCTTCAGCCTCCTACCTTGCCACTATACTATGTAGGAAAGATAAAGCAAACTACTTTTCTCGACACTTCGTGTGCATATTAAGGACAACAACTCGCCACATGGTAAGTTTCATAGATTTTTATTTCCATTTTCTATCAAATTTCCAGACCGAAACGTCGCCCGATATGTTATCTATATTTACTCATGTTATGAAATCCGTTCGTGACACAAACAGTGAGCCGGGGTTACCTGTGATTTAATCACTTTCGTAAGTGAAATCAAATGTTTTTGGGAAAACAGAGATAGAATTGAAAGCTCTTTGGGAGTTTCAAATGTCTTTCAAGACTTGAACTTTCTTACCTACCTCTTACTTTGGCAATTTCATCACGGGACAGTGCGGTNCCGGATTTAGATTGGCTAAAAGGAATGCAACCTTTAGAAGGTTAACATAAGAGTTTTACGGAGCCTGCTGGCTTGGCGTTGCTAGCTGGAGATGCTTCAGTGGTTTCAGGGTTTAGAGAAATTCATGTTCAACGAGCCTGGCGTTTTTATTCGGCGACTGGATTCGATTTTCGCAAAAAAAAATCGTGGTAGTTTAGGGTCGATCAGCCTTCAGCCTCCTACCTTGCCACTATACTATGTAGGAAAGATAAAGCAAACTACTTTTCTCGACACTTCGTGTGCATATTAAGGACAACAACTCGCCACATGGTAAGTTTCATAGATTTTTATTTCCATTTTCTATCAAATTTCCAGACCGAAACGTCGCCCGATATGTTATCTATATTTACTCATGTTATGAAATCCGTTCGTGACACAAACAGTGAGCCGGGGTTACCTGTGATTTAATCACTTTCGTAAGTGAAATCAAATGTTTTTGGGAAAACAGAGATAGAATTGAAAGCTCTTTGGGAGTTTCAAATGTCTTTCAAGACTTGAACTTTCTTACCTACCTCTTACTTTGGCAATTTCATCACGGGACAGTGCGGTGCCAAAAACATACAAATCCATCACTGATCCGTAGAACTGGTGATCTTCCCAGTGACCGTCGTTGGCAATCTTGTAAGGGTTACCCGTAAGTGTGTAAAACTTAGTCCCAGGAGTAAACGATCTGCTACCCACTATGGTGCCGTTAGTGTAGAGGTAGACATTACCTGTCACGTGGTTCCAGGTGACTGCAAGGTGCGTCCAGGTATTTAATAAAAGTTTAGTACTTCTAAAGAACCACCATTTAGTAATGCCGAGGCTACGGCGCTCAAATTCCAGCCGATCACCAACGATGGTAAGCTCAAACTGCCATGGGAGTTGCCAGTCGTTATATATTGTCTGTGTTCCAGATAATCGCGTTTGTTTTATCCAGCAGCAAATGGTAAAACTCCTGCCGTTAAGATGAACTGCTGGGGCAGTAGCGAATGAATCTTTAACAAAACGAGGAGCCGTGCTGCCTGAACACCATCCTTCGACAAAATCTAGTGATTTGCTAAAGCTACATTAAAGGAAAAATTAATTAGAAGATATATAACCGCATTTGGCGGGGGATATATTTAACAATCGTTGAATTCGCCGTTCGTATGATGTGAAGAGTTATGCAGATCGAGGGGAATGTTACCCACCAAAGCCGAAGGCCGAGGTGAATAACAGCCTTCGAGATCTGCATAACCTGGAACATAAATGCCATATCATTAACAGTATATTTATGTCCTGAACACAGACCCATGCCAGGTGGTTATGAGAAATTAGGCGGAGGACTTAAGCCAGTAAACTAAGAAACATTATGTGAGAATGACAAGGAAGAATGGTATTCGGTTGAACGAAGTCAGCCTTCTTTGATTTCCATTTGCTCCTATTTACAAGCTCCCTGCCTGCTATATTTAAAAAAAAGCAATTTACATGACTCACGTTATATTTTGATCCTTTCCATCTAGCAGCCAGTGACCAAGGATTAACATCTCTAAAGGACAAAAAGGCATTTAATATAAGGAAACTACGGGAACCTTAAGCAAAGGAAATAGGAGACGTCTGCACGCAGATTACTGAAGACCCCTTGTCGGAATATTCACAGACGAAATCATTACAGGCAACTTCTACAATCTGAAGGACAAACGGGGGCGGGGAGAGGGGGGAGTGGGGCGCAGTCTTGTCGAACCAGTTAGGAGCAGACTTTGAATTCCCTTCTTCTGGTCTTAGCCAGAAGAGATTTCATGCTCTTCTTGTAAACTTTGCAATTATTTCGCCGGTAAACCTTGCGTCCCAATGAGCTTCTCAGGTATGATAACTGAAGAAATCAACTCACAATAGATATTTTAGTAACTTAAATAAAGTTACTAAAAGAACAGTCTCCCAAGAGTAGTACAGCTACTAGGGGGAAATAATTTTGCAGCTCTTTTTCAGATTCAGATTCAATTTTAGCGCATCTTAGTGAGACAGCTCTTTAGTAGTTATATATAATGAAAACTAGGCCTATTACACAATAACAACGCAATACAAGCAAGCGAATATCATTCATTATTTTTATCACGTAGTTTAAGATGCAAATAATTAACCGACAGTGTTTACCTGGTGGGGGCATTCTACAGCATCTTAACTTCTCAACACAAGCCGATCCTTCGCAGAGTACTCCATAAAAGCCAACCAGATAGGACCAAGCTTCGCAAGTGTCCCATCTTTGACTTTGTAAAGAAATCCGCTTTTTTCCATGGCAATCCAGATGTGCATTTTTAAAATTTCTTGGCCTGCAGCAACTTCCATGTTCAATGTTGCTAAATGAAGAGCCATTTGAGTAATAAAAACCCTTCAAGAAATATCCGTCTGGGCAGGTAGCCCAGCTCCAGTTTCTAGGGAAAGAAAAGTATTGCTTTTATTGCGTTAAATGATAATATAATAATTACGCATAAATCATCACAAAGGAGCAACTCTAAATTCCTTAAAGATCACTGAAATGTCTCTCATGATTCTCTCATGCATGCATGTTATTTGTCGGCAAGCTAATCTGGTAAAAAAAAAAAATCTAGGTATAATCATCCTGATATTCTTCGCATGTGCTCTAAATCATTATAGAGAGACTGACAGGCTAGTATGTGACATTGAAATATCAGGCAAAACAACAGTTTATTCTACTACTGAAGACAACTAAAAGAATTTACAAGAATATATATAATTATAAATAAATAAACAGTACATACAGTAGTGGTACACCCAAAATAACTATAAAGCTAAACCAGTTGGGTGACCGTAATTATGATAATTAAAAGTGTGAAAGTCAGAAAGGAGGCCCAACAAATACACTGGTACACATAAATATCATAACTTGGCACAAAAGTACATATGCAGAGCAAAACAAAAAATAAATAAATAAATATAAACCATAAAAATATCAGTAAAGATTAATAGAGACTAACGAAATGCGAAGTTAGTTCTTTTTTAAATTGATTGGAAGTACGACACTTGACTCTTTCATCGAGTTCATTCCATAATTTAGGACCATTAAATCGAATATTAAATTTGCCATAATTTTTTCGAATTTGTGGAAGATAGAAAGTAGATCTGAATGCAAAGCGAGTATTTACATTATGTTTACAAGATGTTTTAACAAAAAGCGAATCAAAGATCTTTGGTAGTTTGCCAGTATAAAATTGGTGCATAACTAAAAAAGAGAGTTTGAAGCTTAATATGATCTTGAAGTTTAAGAAGGTTAAGCTTAGCAAACAAAGGACTTGTATGTACATCGAAGTTGGCGAAAGTAATTTAACGGATTGCTTTCCTTTGTATTATTTGAAGTGGTTTAATGTTATGGTCATATGTGTTGCCCCAAACTTTACAGCCATAAGAGAAAAAAGGAAGAATAATGGCATGGTATAATTGAACTTAAATGTTTTTGTATCAACAAAATGTCTAATCTTACATAGGACACCAATACCCCTAGACAAGAGCTTGCCTAGTCCCTGGGCCTCATTATTATGCGCGGCCGATGCGTTTCGGGTCACGTGGTCCGAGAAAGTTTTTGAGGCCTAGACAAACTCGGAGAAGTGAGACATTTTGTCTCACTTGGGGCGGAGCTCTTGGTAGCGGGCGAGCTGTCAATAACTTTTCCGCGCTGATGAAAGATGTCTAGCAGCCATGGAGAGTACAGAGGATAAAGAGTTAAACCGAGCATTTTTATTCTATGCACGTTTTCATTGTTGAAAGTCCTTTGGCCTTTTTTTTTTCATTTATCTCATTAAACTAATTTGAACTTTATTTCATCTCAAAAACTATTTGTAGGCTAAGCAAAACAGCGCCGCAAAAAAATTATTTGATCACTCGGAAGGTAAGCTAAAGAAACAAGTTTATATTTATTCTTGGATATGAAAAGCTATCTTTCGTTTCTCTATTTTCGCTTGCTCCTATAAATTTCTCGTTATCATTTCACTTCGAAATATTTTATGTACTTTAATTTTTGGATTTGGAAGCTTATATATCTAACTAATCGGACAGGCTGTTGAATTTGGTCCCTAAATTTGGTAGAATGTCAACAAAATACTGTTTCAAATCTTTCTGTCAATAAAGAAATATCATTTTAATGGTTCATCTGAAAATGAACTAAAAGAGAAATTACTTGCACGTTATACAGTAGTATTCTTTAAGATTCAAAGTGATATTTTTATTCTTTGATAACAGAAACCAGGTAAGTGCCGATCTTTAAGCGAAGGATATTTACGCGCAAAGTTATTTATAGATTATTTCAGTTGAACGTGGGAACTTTTCAAAAATGCAAAAATGCTCACGCATGCGCACTCCGAGATTGTCTAGGCGTCTCCCGGCCGTCCGTCCCGGATAAGTCACCGAAATGCATTGACCGAGAGGCCTTGGAAAGACGCTGTATAGGGACTAGGCGGCTCTTGCCCTAGATATGTTTTTTTGAAATTTGTTGGACTTGTTTGTTCCAATTGAGATGACAGTTTATGAGAATGCCAAGGCACTTAACACTTTTTTGTTGATTAATTGGCTTACCATCTATTTCAGTGTTCAAGGAATTGTTTATCTTTTTTTGATGAGGATTAAATATTACAAAATGTGTTTTAGCAATATTGAGAGATAGTTTGTTGGCACGAAAATCCAGAACTATTGCCTGAAAAGTGTTTGCCACTTTAAAGTGACTCGATTCTACTTGATTTTACTTTGCAGACAACATAATTGGACTTTGGGCACTTATTCAATTTAGATAATTACACATAAATCTCAAAGGAGCAACTCTAAATTCGTTAAAGATCAATGAAATGTCTCCTCATGGTTCTCGGATTCTCGAAATGCATGCATGCTTATTGTTGGCAAGCTCATTTGGTAAAAACGGGGCACTTTTCTAGGTATAATCATCCTCATATTCTTTGCATGTGCTCTAAGTCATTGCCCCGTGGGCGAAATCCCGAGGACGTACTCTAGTAACTCGCGCGTATATTAAGGAAAGTACTTACAGTTTAAATATACAGTCATACAGTCAATATAGAAAAAATCTCCATTTGCTTGAACAGGGGCCGCGAGGAATCGGTAGGTAATGATGACGTTTCTATTGTTTGCGCCCGCAAGTACGAAATGGTTAGGGTGACGTAAAGACAGAAAATCCCGAAGGGACCGCTCAGGTAGATTTTGTGACATTTATTGTGTAGTCATACTTCGATACTCTTTTGCGTTACGCAGTGACATTCTGTGGAGCAGTTGTTTTGAAAGTTATTGACCAAAAGACACTCGTTAAACGCAGATGAGGTTATAAGGTGCTTTCAACTGCGTATATATAAACACTTGGAGAGTTTGCCAGACACGAGTTCACAAATCTTTGATTTATATTGAAAACCTTGCCAGACACTCTTTCTCGCTCTTTGACCAGAATTAGACTTAGCCCCAAACAAGTAAAACGAGTGAACAACGGTTAGCTTATCACTAGCAGGAACGATGGACGATTACAGAAATTCGCCGACAATCAAATTCTGTGCTGACTGGTTCCCTGCTCACAGATGTCCTTCCGTTATAAAGTTTCAAATAAGACCAGAATGCGCGAGCGTGTCGAGCGTGAATCGATCAAACGTCCTTTTAATTTCTAAGGCTTACTTTCCGGCATATAAATTGAACTGAATGTAAAAAGTGAAAGAGAAATGGCGAAAAATTCAACTTCTAATTAAATCTTTCTGTTGCGGCTGGGTTCTCTGTTTTCTTGTTTCCCGCCTTTTTAGATCACGTGATGAGTTTTGTCGTTGTACGGAGTTACTCGATGTATCAGTTGGAGCGATTCACACGAAGTAACGACGTTTTTAACGCTTGACAACGTATATATCCTTGTTTGTACGGATTGCTTGGTCTTGTCCGACGTATAATACCCTTGGTTGTACGAATAGGTTTGTTTCGTACAAATAAACGCCAGTTTACAAGTGGATTGCATCTTACAGTTACTTCGTTTTGCTGTTGGACTGTTGGTTGAATCGAGTCTTGTCAGTCTCATTGTTGTCTTCGATTTGCGGAGTTTGCCAACGAAGTGAGCATCTCATCGTAAGCAAATTGTCAGAGATATTTTCCGCCTATGAAGAATTTTGTTGTGTTGATACATGAAACCGTGCATGTTGTTGAATCAAGTTTGTCATGTCTGTGTGCGATTCGGCGAGTGTTGACATCGAAAGCGATGGAACGATTGCTGCAGGCGAAACGGCGACTATTTCGGAGACTGATTTTCCGCCTTGTAACCCACAAGCAAATTCTACAGTCCTAGAGGCCTTTCCAATCGAGTCGGGCTACGTGACAAAGGGGAGCGAAGCGACGAATTTACCTTTGGACGATGAAGTTGAATTTCTTGGGGAATTGTCGAATGGACAAGGACTCGGAAGTACGGACGAGACCGTGATCGAGAATCCAAACTTAGAAAGCGCATCTGCTGGCACCGCGAGCATCGGCGAAAAAAGAGAACACAAGTTAACGGAGAAAGGTAAATCCTATAAACTTGCTCGAG